GATCATATACAGTGTTAAATGAAGAAAGCAGATGTAGACAACTGCCTTTTATTATATTGGTCTGGTTTTTCATAGTATTAATATGTTGCCTGTTGTATACATTTATTTTGATTAAAAAAAAAAATCAGAACAATGCTTGCAGATCTTATGAGTCCAGCATTTTATGCAAATACACTGAATATAAAGTGATTTCTTATGACAAACAAGCCAAGTTGAAAATACAGATAGTATCATGTGCTGCTCAGGTTTATCATCAGACTGGCTATGGGTTTTCCAACATAGTGATATTTGGCCCTGTGTTCATCTTTATCTGTGAGGACATAAGGCCCCCTGACTGGAGTTGGCATCATCACCTTTTTGATGTAGAAGGTCACCAGCTAGACGTCCATTTCTGTCTGCCAATATGCAACACTAAAAACAGAGAATGTTATATTGTGCAAATTCACCTATAAACAGAGGATGAAAAGGGCTTGAAAGGTCCATCAATGTGCACTGCACTTCCATTGTGCATCCTTGCAGGTCTTAAAGTGTGTTTTCTTTACTCCACAGGAATACAAGGGATGTGGTCTAACCCTCCAGCAGCGAGTCCATTTAAAGTACTTAAAGCACTCCAGAGATAATAATGCTCACTTCATTTAGTCTGGAGAGTCTGCTGAAATATTGACTGACCACTAGCTGTACTTAATTATAGGTTGTGGCGATAGATGTGTTTTCTAAAGTGTGTTTTTGTTTAAGGTAACCACATTTTAAAGTGTACTCTGTAGCTTTTTCCATCAAAAAACAAAGCAGTTTGACTCATCTTGCTTTCATACATTCATACAAACTGCAATTACTTGTTTGCATTAGTCCCTTAAAAGTAGGAGCAACGGTTTACATTGGTTTAACATTCTGCATCAGATCCAGAGCTGGCTACTGTTTCGCAGAATTCTGCTGCCACAGCAGAACAAAAGACTAGAGCAGGGAAATGTCCCCACAGTCTGCACTTTTTCCTACTCAAACAAAATACTTTAATTATGGGAAGTTGTTTAGGTCAATGAGCAATCAAGCGGTCCCAGAGTATCACGCTTAGGGTGATTTTTTTGCAACAATTAGCTTGGACAGATACAACACCAAGCTTGATTTACTGGGTCATCAAATGTCTATTTAACTCAACGTGGCAGATCTGGATTTTACTGAATCACAGAAGACACAGTTCTGTATTTAATGTGGAAAGCCAATTAATTGTGCCGGCGTCCCTGTCTTTTTCAGATTCTCCAGAGATTTTCCCAATTCAGGAGTTGAGCTACGGCCAGCCCAGCACTGGAGCTACAATAAGAGTATGAATGAGGAATTATTTATGTTATCGTAGGTCTAAGATTAAAAATATAAAATTTTTAGAGCATTTCTTAAAGGAATAGTACACCCAAAACATGATTAGCCTTCATTTTCTACTCACCCCCATGCTGAACAAAACTCTGGAGTACTTTTTTGATATCTCAAATGCATCTGGAGATCTGGGAGGCTTCTTGCTGTCTGCTTACATTCAAATAATGGAGGTCTATGGCGCCCAAGGCAGAAAGGTCCATAAAAGTCCATAAAAACGTGTCAATATTCCTCCATACTGCTCGTCCAATGTATTCCAAGTGTCCTGAGTGGGTAGCGTCCATAATTTACTCGAAACGAAGTCATTTAGAACGTTTTAGAGCCTAAACAGTAGTGTATAGGATTTCCTAATAGCGCCCCCATGCGCGCTCACGACGCTACGGAAGCCGGCAGACCAAACCGGAAGGAAGTGCGCATTCAGCATCTGCTCTGCCGATAATGCAAGCGTAGAAGAAGAAATGTGCTGTTTACCTGTGCAAAGAAAGAAACAACGAAAGAAAAATGTCTGAGGACTTCAGTGTTGAGGAAGAGCATGAGTTCTTTGCCGAGCTGAATGCGCTGGTTTGGTCTGCCGGCTTCCGTAGCGTCGTGAGCGCGCATGGGGGCGCTATTAGGAAATCCTATACACTACTGTTTAGGCTCTAAAATGTTCTAAATGACTTCGTTTCGAGTAAATTATGGACGCTACCCACTCAGGACACTTGGAATACATTGGACGAGCAGTATGGAGGAATATTGACACGTTTTTATGGACTTTTATGGACCTTTCTGTCTCGGGCGCCATAGACCTCCATTATTTGAATGTCAGCAGACAGCAAGAAGCCTCCCAGATCTCCAGATGCATTTGAGATATCAAAAAAGTACTCCAGAGTTTTGTTCAGCATGGGGGTGAGTAGAAAATGAAGGCTAATCATGTTTTGGGTGTACTATTCCTTTAATTGATTCTCTGTCAACACCATTTTTTTTTTGTCTCTCAACACCATCTAGTTCCTCATCAGTTAGAAACACAAACTGACACAAAAGTTCAGATTTTTATAATTCAGCCAAATTCACATCACATCGACGGCGGGTTCTGCTTCGCTCTATTTGCCCCAATAGTGTCCTTTGCATTTCTAGAAACTAACCGGAACACACCTCTACATAGGGATAATTTGCAAATCGCCCGCTCGTTCGAGTTATTTATGTTTGGTGTGAACACAGCATAAAACCATGTTGGTCTCTTGTTGCTTTTACGAGAAGTGTTGTTAGTTTTGCAGGATGTAACAGGACAAAAAAAATCACGTCTTTATGTTTTCCTATTGCTCAACAGTGGTTTACTCCTTGGAACTCTCCTTGATAAATTGGACACATGTACAAAACTGTTGGTACCCCTCGTTTAATGAAAGAAAACCCCACAATGGTGACTGAAATAACTTTATTTTGACAAAAGTAATAAAATGTCAATCATGCTTCATAAGAATGACTTAGAAAATGAACTTGTAAACTTCCTTCCAATTCCTCACAATGGACTTTGTAACCCTTTCAAAATGGACGTCAATGATTTTGTTTCTCATCTTCAAACTGCCTTTGCTCATTTGTTAAAACAAATAAAGTCTTGCAAGCTAGATGCATACTGCACATCTATTCGTGGTTGATAAAAGAGACTTCATATGGTATGCTACATGTGAAATAGTAAACCAAACCTAGGGAATTGTGTTTCCCTTTTATCGATACCGACACCGTCTGATATTGATATTAATCCACGCTTCAGTTACAGGCTTCCATTGATACAGTAGATACTAAAAGAATTTATTTTTAGACATGCCTCATTGTATGAAGAGGAGTTAAAGTGTTACGGGCTGCTTGATTATATAGAATGTCTTTTGGGAACATCTGTAGTGAAAATATTACACCAAGTATAAAGCAACACACAAGCCAAAGTCTAGCAATAAACCTTCAGCTGTTTCGCTGTAGTTACATTGGTTAAACCTCTTAGATCATTTCAGGGGTGCTGCTGTGAGTCTCTCTCCAAAAGATTTATGTTTTAGAAAAGTTGTGATAAGACTATTGAGTGACTTCAGGTATAATGCGACACTTTGAGTTATTGATGCTTAAAGCAAAAATCTCTGCAGTAAATGTCAATACAGCCTGGAGTTAAATGGGGATCAGCTCAGATAACAAATGAACATCATTTTCAGTAAAGTTTGGGCTCAAAGCAAGGCATATTGAAGATATGAGGACTCAGCTTACCAAAGGAGAAGACTTAAAGGGTATTTGGTGCTGGTCCTTAAAGTCTCTAAATAGGGTGTGTAACATTGGTTTGGCTGTAAATTGCACATTTGCTGTTCCATGAGCCCTAATGCAAGCCTGGTTATAAGCCCTAGAATGAAACAACAGGTTTTCTTCCTTTTATGCTATGCTCATTAATATTTAGATGACTGATTGTCGGTTGGGGATAATATACACCATATTATATGCACCAATGTCCGGGAGGGATTTCGTAATCGTCTGTGATTTTGGTTGACTACAGTGCAGCAGAATCGAGCCATGAGCTCCGGGGCTGGTCTGGGAACCCTGGTGGACAGAGGCAGGAGCCAGCGGGGGACAGAGCGACCGAACCCGACCTGGTGGACAGTAGCCTGGAGACAGACGGCCCAAGGCTTTTACCCCGCCTGCCCTACTGGCCCCCAGCCACCCTGTTCCGGCTAAGGAAGGGTGGCCCTTGGCTCTCTGCTGAGGTTCTGTCCAGTCAGTGGCCCAGCAGTCGACACTTAATACCGTCTGACAAAAGTACAGGCCTACCAAATAAGGCAACATCCCCGAGTTTACGTCAACTTTAAGGTGGAAGTTTAGAATTGTGAGGTTTGCAGAGAAAGGAGATGTCGATGGGGTTTGAACTTCTCTGTACGTCCATTTCACCCACTGAACTATCATGACAATCGAAACTCGGTTTTGCATTCTATAACCCCTTTAAAGACCAGTGAGTTTAAAAGTACAGGGCCTTGCAAAAACTGTTCATAACTCTTGAAAATGTTCAGGTTTTGTCATCTTGCACAACTTTACAATTATTATGTAGAGAAATAAGGATAAACCTGTATATGTAGCTTTCAAAAAAATCCCAAAAAGAAAGGCATGTGATGTTTTCAGCTTCTTTTGAGATACCCCTTGATAAAATGCATTGCAAAAAAATGTTGTGAGGGTCTTCTGTTTCCCATTGTGTTAAATGAAGATGCTATAGCTTAGAAAGGAGCCAACAGCCAAAAGAAGGGAGCATGTTGCTGGATTAAAGGTAAGGATCAGTTTTCATGGCTATGTAAAACCATAAGTCAGGAAAAACTTTGCAAGGTTATTTATAACTGCAGGAGCTACAAGATGGGAGGGCTAAAGGAAATGTCTGCCACACTTTGCAGATTTTACCAAATTTGTTTGTCCCTTTTTTAATAATATTCCAAATGCATTAACTTTGCATTTCGGACATGACAATATAGCAAACATGTTTAGAGGTAAGAATGCATTTTATAAAGTTAATGTACCCTAAAAAATTAGATCTTTGATCGAGCCTAATTGATGTCACGGCTCTGCGTAAAATAAACTACCGTAAAAAGAAAAAAAAATTGGGAGGGCGAACGTATTTATTAGACACCGGGCGTGGCATGCTTTTCTCCACCGGAGGGGAGGAGGCAACAGCCGCAGTGCGCTCCGGGGCTGCTGGATGCTCCATGATGGATGGGAGATGACAGATCGGGGTTAGCCGCCAGGGGAGTCCATTTTCCTGCAGCGCGCGGTCCTATACCCGGACAGAAAGCGAAAGAAGAAGGATAAGGAGAGCATCAACAGCCCCCCTCTCCCTCCTCTCTGGTGCATCACAGTCTAGCGGGCTTTACACACCGACTGCACCGCATTGACGCTGCTGCTGCCGCCGACCCAGCCCATTGAAGTAGCGCACAGAGAGGAGCACAGCTGGAAATTAAATACTGCAGAACGTTTGGTTGGAAATGCATCCTTTTCAGTCATTTACTTTCTTTCTTCTGGATGCTTGTATAATCCAAACAGTTTGAAAGCTGACGGAGAAGACAGTTGCGCGTTTGGGATATTTTGCATCGGGGGGTTGCAGATGCAGCTCATGATGGGGATGAAATAAGATGAGATCGGTGCATTAATACCTGGATCATGCAGTTTCTGCAGCCTTGGACGTTAGTTATCATTTTGGGTCATGCACACGTTTTGTTATCCCTGGATAATAATAATGCAGAAGTTGGGAGCAAAGACGAAAGCATCAGCAGCGGTTACTCTGGCAGGACTTTCCACAATCCTCCCCAGGAGAGCCATCCAAATAAAGCCAGAGAGCGCGCGCTCTTCCCGGGATACGCCACAGGTGCGAGCCTCAACTCCACTCGGCTGTGGAAGAAGGGGGAAACGAGGCGAAGTGGCCACGGTAAACGCAACTTCAATAGGAGCCTGACACCCGTGGATGATCCAGGCGTGGAGTCCCACTGGGACGCGACGCGCCACCATAATAAGAGGATCAAGTTGAATGGTGGCGCGGGGACGCCGGCAGGTGGACACTACAATGCGGTTAAGCCTCCTTCAATGGGTCGGGAGGACGGAGGAGGGGTGGAGGAGGAGGAGGACAAGCACCAGAGAGGCTCTAAGACGGTCAGGAGGTGGAGGAACAAGCATAACAGAAGCGCAATAGTTTCATCACCGTGGGAACCAGTCCCCAAACCGGTGGCGCTCACCTCCACTGACCTCCCATTTGACCTCTTCACCAGGAGGGCGGAGGTTTTCACCTTCAGGGAGGAGAACCCATGGGACGCCACTCCGATCACTCCTCCCGGTTCCCCGGATTTTGGGGACGAGATTAAAAACCCCTTCTACCCAGTGACAAGCCAGACTTTCGGGGCTTACGCGATCACATGCGTGGCCGGTGTCATTTTCTTGGTAGGAATAGCGGGTAACATCGCCATCCTATGCATAGTGTGCCAGAACTACTATATGAAGAGCATCTCCAACTCCCTCCTGGCCAATCTGGCTGTGTGGGATTTTGTGCTCATCTTCTTCTGCCTTCCTATGGTGGTTTTCCATGAGCTCACCAAGTCATGGCTTTTGGGAGAGTTTACCTGCAAAGTGGTGCCCTACGTGGAGGTAATGATGATGTTAATTGCTGGGGTGGAGGTATTGAATTACAATATACAAGGCAAAGAAAGACGCCTATTTTTATCTTCCAATTAAAAGCCTAAATTCTTCCCTTGTATGTAATTTCACCAGGTTTAAGTTAAAATATTCTATTAATACCACCTTAAATTTAGCCAACAAAACTGTTTTGCACTTGCAACCTCTGCAGATAACTCCCATTTTCTGAGGCAGAACAACGCCAGTTGCAAGCCATCTACTTTAATGTGCTGTCCCTATCTAATAACTACAGAAATGCATCCGATGGACTGATTAGTGTTATTGGAAGAGATGAGCTTGAAAATTACAGGTTCTGAAATATAGGGTTAGATTTAACCACAGGATGAATTTTGTCCAAACGAGATGCTTTCTTTTTAGGGGCCGCAACCTTTATTTTTAGGGGGGAAAAAGAAAAAAAATGGAAAAAGAAGCATAAGATGCTCAGATGTGTTCATATACTGTGAATTTAACTGTAATCCATATTACTACACATATGCCCAAATATAAACACTTGGAACATCCATCCATCCATTTTCCATCAAGCTTATCCCAAGCAGGGATATCTCCAGCTGTCTACTGGCGAGAGGCGGGGTACACCCTGCACAGGTCGCCAGTCTATCAAAGGGCAACACAGAGACAAACAGGACAAACAACCATTCACTCACACCTAAAGAGAAGTTAGAGAAGCCAATTAACCTAACAGTCATGTTTTTGAACTGTGGGAGGAAGCTGTAGTACCCAGAGAGAACCCATCCATGCTCAGGTAGAACATGCAAACTCCATGCAGAAAGACCCACCAGGCTGGGAATAGAACCCAGAACCTTCTTGCTGCAAGGCAGCAGTGCTGCACACTGTTCCACTGAGCAGTCCAAACTGTGAACATTTCAAACGATCAAGCAAGTTTAAACTGGAAAGCAAACGTGTATGTGAAACATTTATTAGGAACTGAGCAGCCTGACCTGGACTTTTTTTTATGTAAAAATGCTGTTTTGACTTTGACTGATACATAAATTGCAAGCTGCAAACATCATCCATCTGGATGCCTCAGACAGCCTCTTTAGATTTCATGATAGTTTTTAATAGGGCTGAAACAATTATTGGACTTAATTGTGGTTAATCCATTATTGAAATAATTGTTAACTGATTCAGTTATCGGTTAATGTTTTACTGAAGTAAAGAGACTAAAACATGCTTTTAGCTGACTGAGCAATTAACTTAGACCTGTAACCACACCAAAATTTTGGATTCTCATCTCTCATCCGATCTTGGAGCAGCAGGACGCTGCCTGTCAGTATCTATGGGAAATCCCCATCGAGGCTATGGAGGAGAGCAAAAAGAAAGAAGGCTCTGATTGGATAACACGTGTAAAAATAAATACTTCACTTCCAGTGAGGCCAAGCCTCTTAGGGGGTATATGTAGCGGGGGCGGGTTATGAAGCTGGCTACTCGATGCTGATTGGCAGAAAGCTACTATAGGGTTTCTGACTGACAGTGGCCAGACAGTAAGGAGGTTTTCCTCATGGGTTTCAGAGAAGAGAGGAAATAGCGATCAGTCAGAATAGTCGTCTTTTACTGAACATTTGACTTGGTATCTAGAGTTTATTTCAGAGCATTTCACAACATTTATTTTTTGCCATTGTTACGATGTTCCATTTGTTAACGCAATATGTTACTTTTGCATTAGTACCATTAAGCCTCCCGTTTCAGAGAGCATAGCAGAATCTGAGTTGTCTTTGAACATTCTAATCATTTCTGTTCATCTACCTTTTTATAAATGTCTCTATGCCTGTAAGTGTTCAGTCTAGCACACTTTTTCTGTGATCCATTTTCATCCATTTTTGGATCACTCCAGCAAGATTTTACTATTCCAACCAGGGCAAACTGGAGTGGAAATGCAGCATAGGAGCTTGGTTGTAGAGGCCTTAAATTTGATCGTATGACAGATGCAAGAGGAACCCTACTTTATTCACAAATCTGCTTTATTTGCAGCACAAATACACTTCTTTCAACTATTAAACCTATGAAAGACTGAGCCTTAAGAATTTTTTTCTGTATACATAAAGGATTAATGTATTTCTCATAAAGATAAAAAATATTTTCAGTATATAAAAGTTTACTAAACAAGCAGCTTATATAGCTAAGCAAATAGCAACAAACAGAAAAGCTATATCTTGATATACAAATTTTCTTCTGGTTAAACATTGAGATTTATTTTGATTGATAAAGCAAAATAGTTATTTGTGCACATAGAGTGCAGCATTGCTGATATGCTTTCTTTTATACTCTGTGTTCAAAGAGTGTTTCAAAAACACAGACATACTATGTGCCAAGTCTGGGATGGGATGACTGGACAACAGGCTGCTCAGTCCTATTTGTAACCAACTTCACTGACTGGTTATGCTAACATTAGCTTATCCAAAAAGGTTGATTTAGCTTCTTGCAGCACAAACTTTCCATTTCCCTCTAATTTCCTTTATAAATCTCTGCCAATATATTCTGCAGACATTTTTCACTCTTTCCTCTTTAAATTGGGAGGGAAGTTTTGTATCCGTCCTTAAAATTCCAACTTCAGACTCTTGTCCACCTGTTTTTAAGTTTGAGATCTGGAGGTACATAAGCAAGTTTGCAGACAGAAATAGATCCCATATGCAATTATTTAGAGATTTCAACGCAGCATTATTATTTAGATTTTGATGTTGCACATCTCAAAATAAGTAGGCAGGGATTATTTATTTTTTTCTTCAAATTTGCCCTTGAGTTAATATGTATTAATAAGCACTTTTTAGACTTTGCTGGGTTTGACAGAAAGCAATGTAAAAACACCTAAGGAGTACATATGTATTATTTATTGTTTGATCAAAGATCAATAATCTCAATTAAACGCTTACATAGCCTAATGCATGCAGGATGTGTTCAAAAAGGAGCCCTTTTTTCCTCTCAATACTCAAAGTGAAGATGTAATCATTGCGACACACACACCGTGTCGCATCATGGTTTATTTAGGTATGTGTGCATGCATGTGTAGCGACAGACTAAGTAATGTGGCCTAAGGGTATTACTCTCCCTTAGGAGCATTCAGCAAAATCTCTTTGAATAAACCCAAATGCATATGAAATTACCCCAAACCCCCCTTACCCCAAACACAGTTACTGATGTTGGCATCAACATTTGGAGAGAAGATAAGTGTATGCATAGGCATAAATATGTCTTTATGTGAATTTGAAATTGCTTGAATGGTTAAGCATACACCAAGGGTGGAAGCTCCCCATGGTGCCATCTTCGGTAAACCTTGTTTTATTCAGCATTCAGTGGAGCGTGGAATTCTTAGCCTCAAAGAGAAAGCAATCTTCTGCTGCAAGGTGTCAGAAAACACAGCTGTAAAATTGTGGGGAAACCTGGACAAAATCGAAATCTGTGAAACAGCCATCTTGCATTATCCCTGATACGCTTTGCAGTTGTTATTGTAGACAGCCTGGCTTGGTTCTTCTGCTAAAAAGTGATAACGGAGCCTAAACTAATTGGCAATAACTTGAATTTTTTTTCACCTAACACCTGTGGCAAAAGGCTAAGTAAATAAAGTTACTGTATAATTTTTAGATTCTGAAAATTGTGTCATGAAAGTGAAAAGTTATTCCAACCATCCATGTTCTCTCACTCATTCTGTAAGGGTCACGTGAGGCATCACTGGCAGGCTATGGGCATAAGGCAGGGGACACCCTGGACGGGTCCCCAGTATGTCACAGTTCAGGCCTTAAATTGATTTTAAGAGAATAAGTCTAGTGGGAATTAGAACCAAAACCCCATTATGTTACCCATGCTTTTCTTTAAAATGTCCCCATCAGATATTAATAGTGATTCAATATTAGCCAAAACACTATCAGGTTTTTATCGGCCAGGGTCTAAAATCTGTGATATAGTTTAATGCTGATAGAAACACGCTGCAACTGTTAAAAGTTTTTGTAACTCATTGGATTATTTTATATGGGTCAGTGGTTCTCATACCTTTTGTTGTTGATTTTTGTTTTCCCTTTTAGGAATATTACTTGATCAAAGCTTTCCTAACATTCTAAAATAAGTAATAAAAGCTGGTATGATCCCTTCTAATATCATACCAGGTCAGTATCGGTTATATTCTCAAAGTTGCAATATTGATACTGGAATTGAATAAGTCGTATTGGGACATCCCTACTTTTCGTACAGTTCTGCATGTTGTCAGAATGGTTAGAAATGTTTATGAACACTGTAGTCCAAGACTTTGCCAATCTAAAAAATTTCTCGACTTTGTTTTTAGAGTGGTCGTTTATTGAAGTGTTAGTGTAAATGTTGCTTTATTTCCATCCACACTGGGGTGAATATTTTGTCATAGCCTACCTCAAAAATTTAGTTTTTGGTGACATTTAGAGTCAACATGGTCGTTTATGGTCGACTGGATGAATGTGAATCATTTTTAACAACAAGAGGCCTCTTTTCGACATTCCTTCTTCCCCGTTTATTACATGCATCTTGCTTGTTTATACAGATATATATGAAAAAGCATTAGTACAAGAGTTAAAAACCGAAATGGACAAGGTAATTGAAAGCGCAAGTTAAACTCATTGAGTATTTTGAACTTAGTCCTGCAAGCTAAGCTGAGGATTTTCTAGTTGATGTAGTTAGGATGAAATTACTGCAACCATCTGACAGAGTAAATGTATTAGGGCTGAAACAATTAATCCGATTAATCGTAATTAATTGATTATTGAAATAATCTTCAACTATTTTAGTATTCGATTAATCATTAACTGGATTTTAGAGACTAAAACATGCCTTTAGCTGACAGAACAACCCACTTAGAGCAGTAATTATATCAAAATTCTAACAAAAAATCTGTAAACATTTTGCATTTAAGATTAAAAAAACATTGTCGTCTGTCAATAAATTCAATCCAGAACTAAAGTAGAAACATTTTAGTTTCACCTAGTTTATTTTAGTAA